GACATGAAGATCTGATGCAATGATATCCACTAGTATTTTGCATTTTCTAGCCATTGGAAAATGTGCATTATGTGCATATAAGAAAGGCTACAAGGTCATTAGTAAGGCTGATGATTACTACATTATGAAGTAAATAGTACTAAGTAAAAAAAAAAAGATAAATCGGAACTGTGCAAAGACAGTACTAACAGAACCATTTAAACACCCATGCAAATAAAAACGTGATAAAAGTCAAATCATAGTCAGCTTGTTAGAATTAATCATGTTTCAAATGTTCTTTTTGTCTCCAACTGAAAGTAACAGGACAGACCATGAACAATACAGCCTGGTGAGTATCTGTCAAATGACAGTAACAGTGAAAACATACAAAATGTTATCAAATTGGAATAGATGACCTCATGTCTGAAAAACATTAAAAAAATACAACCCTTAGTATGAAAGTAGAGGTGAGATTTTTCATCATTTAAGTTTCATTTTTTGTCAAAGCACTTACAAAGAAAATAATTTTATACTTATGAAGTGTTAGTGTTGCATATTCTTGTAGAGATGATCTATTTCAATTTTAAATTAATGGTTATTTAAATTATTACTATTTTTACAAAGTAGAATAGGGCAGTATTTTTGATCAACATTCCATTCGCTTCTTAAAAATTTAGACAAAGTTCCTAGTGCATTTTATTAAGCTTTACCTTTGGTGTTAAGCAGTGACTTATTAGATTTCCCTTTTAAACAATTTCTGGAGTGAGCATTCTTTGGCTTTGGGGGACTATGCTATCTAACGACAGTCAAACATTTTTTTTTCGTAAAGAAAAATATAAGTCTACTATTAGATACCATAAGAGATACAGATTTCAGAAACAGACAGACGCAATATGCAGGCTTTCTGTAATGAAATCACCAACCGCTGAATTCTCACTTACCCTGGATCCCTTCACCTCTCCACTCGCTGGAGCAACATAAAGGCGCCGTATTGTCAGTGAAAACCAGGCCCTGTTTGTTTGCGCTCATCTGAGTACTGAGTGCCAAGCTACTACCTTCTGTCGCCTGAACATTTTCACCGTACAAAAGAATCGATTGTGCTAGCAGTAACATTGCCGCAATGGCTAATTTACACTACAGTACTTTCTGTACTTTTTTATATCTGGAATCCAAATCTGTTTATGCAAAAGGGTGTTTAAATTACTCTGCTAGAGCACTGCAATTATTGTACTTAGTAAAAAAAAGTCACTAAACAATTACTGTATCTATCGACTGCTCATTTACAGCTTATTTAATTATTTACATAATTTTAGGACACATTAACCTAAACCATAAGTAGAATTAGCTTTTTGCCTTACCATAAAGTACAAATTAGAAGTTAAAAATGTTTAAGAAATCTGATAATATTTACACACGTTCAGCTTAAGTTATGGTTGCTCACATTGTATGTTCTATGTACACATAGCAAAATGTTATGATCACTACTGATATAGTATTGTACCCTGGCCATCCCACCCTAGATTATTTTCTAGAAAGAGTTAATATTTTTGCGGTTTTTTTTTTCTTGGTTCCCTAAGGAATTCGTTGGTTTTGAAAACTTACTAGTGGACAATGCTGTTATAAAAAGAGAGAGAAGAAATAGGCAAGCAATGTGAGGACTAGTCTAATTTCTGATGCTAGGAGGTACAGTACTATCATCATGTCAAACGGTGCAATGCTCCATACGAATTATAAGCATTGATCTGCTGATATAGAAATGCCCAGTTACCCTGTATAGTAAGTTGGGTTTTTTTTAATGCATTAATCTTTTTTTTCTCAAAAATATATTCATACACTCGTTGATGGTAGAAACAAAACTATTATTAGCTTATTCCTTTAACACGCCAACATATGAATGTGTGTGCATATATATATACCCAGTATGTGTATATATACACACATATGTCCATATAGACATTTAGGTATATGTCCATATGCACATATAGCTCGATAATGTTTAACATCCGTTCACTTATGTTTAGCAATGTGTTAAAGTATAGAATTGGAACACAGTCTAATAATTATAATGAAAATCAATTGAGCTTTAATTTTAATGCATATTTGTCAGAAACAAATGGGATTTGTTCCCCAGGTGTAAGACCGCTACTCATTTTCTCTGTGCATTGTGCTTTTGTACCTTGCAGATTTTATGTCCTTTGTATTAGAATGTAAAAACTCTCTGAAGAGCTCTGCGACATGCTGTTATCTAAGACTCTGTTTTCCTCCCCTGGGAATGAGAAAAGAAATGGTCACAATGTCATTGCTTGAGTCTTTCTTCCCAGTCATTAAACTGCGATAGGATAGAAACATAACATTCCTTATGCAAACACAGAAATATGTTGCATGAATTTTCAGTTCTGAAAATGTGTATCATACTTACTAGCAGTCATGTACAGTATATATTTACAGATTGATCTCAAAGATTTCATTAAAACTGTGCCATGTTATAGTCATAATTTGCCCATGAATTTCACAAAGATGAAAAACACCTTAATTGCTGGCTATCATGTCTATTAGAACAATAAAATGTGCAACTATAATTATATTACAAGCTCTATCTAAATTATTAACTTTGATATTTTGCTTATTGAAACTAACAACAATTAAAACCATTAAGAGGATCTAGAATATTCATTTTCAGTCAATTCTAAACTAAAAGCAAATTTATTCTATTTTACCTGCAGGGTGGCACACATAGCAAACCCCATCTCTCATGTATGTCGGCATAATTTCTCACTCAAGTATCTCAGAAGAGGAGTAAGTGCTCACCTTAGGCTCAAGTTATACTTTTCCCTTGACAGTGCCTCGCCAGTCTTTCTCACCCCCATCTTTTTGTATCACAGTGTTAAGCCTTAGTACAAAATGATAGAATCCTTCTCTTTCACTAATTTATACATCACATTAATAGCCAGAAGGACACAGTAAAAGCAAGTGCTCCTTCCTCCCGGATAATATATCTTTCCCAGTGACACCTGAGCAGAAACCAGACATTTTCTTTCACTCTCTGAATAGCAACATCAGAGAGTATTATGGCTTGTACTGTAACTTCAGATAAATTCATGTGCAGTTCTAGGATTCAGTCTTTGTGGTCTTCATAAGAGCTGATGCAGTAAACCAATGCAGAGAGTCAACATATTCTCTGTAAGGTTTTCTACTTGATGTGTATCGACCACAAACAGGCTGTGAGCTCCCTGTATTCACACTATGCTTCTGTGAGATAAAAAAGGAGTTGGCAGCAATTTGTGAAATGAAAGAAAAGCTTGTACAGAAGAATACTCTAAGACTGCTTTTATTTACGGCAATTAATACCATTTTTAAAGGACAGACTTTGAAGAGAACTACCGAATTTTGATATGGCTCCTTTTCTTAGAATTGGGAAAAAATTCCAACATGATTCATACCTATCAGTCGAAATTCCAAATGCATCTACAAAGCTTATTGCGTTATGTGTGAAATGCAGTCGGAAATTCAGTATGTGATCCAAACCCAACATTTTGTCTTGGAAAGTTAATCGCATGATGAAAGCCTGTCTCTACATATTGCAGAGTCTGAACCCCAGGAGGCAGTACCTGAACGTACATGCAACTCCCTTGAAAACCACAGGCAGTGTGTATGCCTGGCAAACCCCATTTCAGGCTCAGCACTCCCATTTTGAAGCAGAAGTAAGCGGATGATATGCTCAAAACAGTCAGGAAATTGGCCTATTAGTTCCCAGAACTGTTTTCCTCCTATCACTATCATTCACTGTCAAATGGGGGAAAACCCCCCACAGAAACTTATAAGAAAGTTACTCTTTTAAAACAAGAACAAAAATTCAAAGAAAATATTTTGTGAAAAAAATTCTTAAGAACTATCTTAAAGTTTTGCCAAAAGAATACTTAAATGGGGAAAACGCATCTGCCTGAAAAAATTCCTTTGCTATTTAGAAGATACTTGAATTCTAGTTTCATTCAGAAATTCATACACAGATGAGAGGTAGCATGGATACAACAGATGTGGCTTTTGCTTAATGAAATATTCTGTGTCAAACAATATTGGGGATCTGATTTAGTAAAAGCCATTAGGAATCTATATTTTTTATATGGTTCTTGCAGATAATTTTTTTCATTACGAAAAAGTTTCCACAATGGACTAAATCACAAACTCTAATTTGCCTAAAAAATTCTATTTTTTGTCTATTCTATTTTGCCCATAAGAGTAAAGCTCTGTGGAATGAAAAAACTCAACCTTTTATTTCAAAATGTTTCCTAAAGCAAAACTGAAATTTGCTAGTTTTTCAATGGAAATCATCCTAAAGCAGGAAACAGTCAAGAGTATAATTAAACTCTAAAAGTGAGGGCTACGAAATTCTTCCCTTTAAAACAGTGCATTAAGGAAAAAGAAACTAAAAAGTGAAATGGCATTGCCTAATCCAGACTGAGAAAATACCCTGTCAGTATTTTTTGTACCAAAGTACACATGCTCGGATCTTTACTGTTGAAAGAGGTACAATTACCTTTAATCAAAGTGGATGTAAAGTGTTAAGCATAACACCAGTAGCAAAGATAACACTGGATTGCAAACTTGGAGGAAATGACACAACTCCACATGAGTATTTCAGACTAAGGTACGTACTATAACTGACAACATTCACTTGCACACACACTTTTACACATAGGTAGCCTTCCCTCTCCTTGGCCCTGTATTTGATGATTGCTCTCTAGCTCTCCCTACCCCAGACAGGCAGGGCACCACTGGTTTCCTTCACCCACCTAGAGAATTACTATTTGGCCAATCAATTTTGGCACTTTGGACAGACGATCTCCTTTCCCCAACACAAAAGAGCAGCATATCTACCCATTCAGAGTTGGTGCATTTTTATACCATTGCTACATTCCTCTGTTGATCACAACTACAGTCATTGTGATTGTGAGCATATGTTCCCTCTTTAAAATCCCAACAAAACTAGTGCTCTTTGCTTCAGCTTCTGTGCAAACACCCAACCCTAATATTATCAGTCAAAGGTTTAGATCTTTCAATAAGTAACAGGAAATACCTGAATATGGTTGGGAAACCTCTGACCATCATCACCTTGGAAAGATGATAGGCACTACTTGTTTTCAAGTTTACACATTTAAAAGGTAAAGTGTATATGTTTCATATGCATGATAACAACTTAGTACACTTTCTGAAGTGTAGATGCATGTCTCAGATATGCAGTTTCTGCGGTTGAAATTCAAACCTGTTTCTCAAATGCCATTCTATAATTTGCATCACTAAACTCAAATGGCTATTAAAAAAAAAAAAGTGCGGGACAATGAGACAGAAATGATTGTCAAAATCCAATTTGCCTTCACACTCAAAATGCACTTATATTTTGATAAGGGGATATGTCCATACTGCAATTTAACGTATTTATGATTTAGTGGATACAACCAAAACATTATAAAACCAGACCATAGAGCGGGCCAGCAACTAAGGTGTTTTAAAATAACTTTTTGTCCTGAATAGAATTTTTCCAAGTCCCACTTTTGGCTGTACAACCGATTTGAAGAGAAATCCAGTTCTTGCTTCCTGTGTGGCTTTGTTTCTTAGTTCACATAGTAAAGCCAATAGACAATATTGAAGAAGGAAAAAACAACAGGGAAGAATATGCGCGACCATCGATCTATGGCATTTACATCAGTCAAGTCAGGAATGGTAATTTTCAGTTGAGATGCACGTCTCCGTAGCCTACTTTTCTTCTGTGCCACATGTCGCTCCAGGGCGTTGCGACCAAAGCTGTGTCTGGGTAAGCCAGCTTTCCGGTACTGGATGCTTGAAGTGTCATAGGCCAGCATAGTGCTTCTAGGGTCCCCAAGCCCCATCACAGCCTCGGAGGCAGCCATCTCATTTTTAATTTCAAGTGTGCTCAACAAAATATTTTCATGTGGATCCATCTGTAAAAAATAAAAAAGCAGATTTAACAGGAGCGAAAGGAAGCCAAATCAGTTGCAAACTGAAGCCATGCTGACAAGGGCTAGATCTACCATTACTGATTTATTGGATGTCAGCCTGTCTAAAAGACATGAAGCATAGCTGTGGCTGTATTTATTGTCATTTATTTGTGAACTCAAGGAGCAATAAGGCCAGTATAGCGCAATGGAATAAATGGTATTTCCCTAGACCCCATGTCCAGTGAGCAGATGCAATATCTGGAAATGGGGTACATGCTCAGCTCCTGAAAGTGGGATTCTGTGACTGGGTAGGATATCTGGGGCCAACATTGAACTTTTGGGAGTTTTTGGAAGGAAATTGAATGGAAAAGGGTCTGCTTTGTTTTGGTTTTTCTTCTTTCAAATGAATGCTTCTGCTCTGACAAAAACTTCTATTCACAAGGTCTCTCTGCCCCTATAAAACAAGGCCCAGAGCACTGCACAAGGGAATGCAAATTTTCAGTCCCGGTATTCCTAACAGAACTGCTGGTTACTTGGGAAAAGGTACTGACATAGTCTAACTATACTGTACCTGTGTGGAAACTCCATTCCCTAGTGCTAATGAATTTCATAAATACAGTGCATGCTGTGGAGACCTGAATGCTGGAATAGTGGAGCTCTGCAGTTTGGAGCAAGGAGAAACATATACAGAGTGTAATCACGTCAAATGTGCGTTGTGCAGTTGTTTCAATGGGTAGTTTTAGCTACTACATATTTTTTCAAAGGCAGTTCAGTGAAAAAAAAAAAATTAATGCAGTGTTGTAAAGAAATCCCTTAGACAATTAAGAGGATTTTGAAGATGAGGAACTAAATTTTACTCTTAGGCAATCTGGAGTAGATCTGAAGTATGGTAGGAGAACTTCAAAATAATCCATTTAAAGAAAACAAATATAAGGTTATTTAGGAAGTTCTAATTCTCCTCAGCCTTCCCTCTAAGTATATATTTTGAATTGTGTGATTACAGAGTATAATTAAATAAAAATGCTTTAAAAGCAAGAATAGCTAATGAGCAGCTAATGAAGTACATTGACTTAATGCTGGTAGCGCAGATATACTCCAGGCCAAAAAAGAGATGAAACTGTCCCAGAACTCCTTTAAGAGTAAGTCAGTCACATTATTCATTTATCATGTACATAATAAATACTATGATTATTACCGAAAGCACACAAACTGTGACTTTTGTGGATTTCTAAACAGTAATATGGCATTAGTCTATTCTGCAATATATAGAAGGCAGCAGGCAGCGGCAGGTACCTCGCTGCACTACCCAACACAGCTCTGTATTTGCCAGTATTGACAAAAACCTAGGTAACATTTCACATGGCACGGTCAGAGAACTGGGTTGAAAACAGCTGCTTTTTCGTAGCATCCACTGCACAGTATTATGAACTGGGGAGTCGGATACTCACCAAAGTAGTTTGGACCTACTGACACACTGCCATTTGAGTGATTACATCTGTCCAAGTGATCCATAAAAATTGGCATTGCTGAGATGCCAGATTTCCTTCTCTTTTTTTTTTTTTTTGTGAGTTTGCACCCCTCTAGTTTCATTATATTTTAGTGTTAGATTAAATGTAAAGACTCAATGTGAAGCAGCCAAAATCATCTATTTTTGCTTGCTTTCCATCAAAGCCATATGAAATCTTTGAATTTTCTAGGGTGTTAGGGAAATCAATCTTTTTTTTTGAAGCACTGGAAAAATGGGAAAGTTGAGCTGGAACTCAAGATAAATTCCTTTAAGAAGTCTGTAGCATGACATTGAGCATGGTGAGGAAACACTGTGTTCTAGCCTGGAAGGCCATCATTCTGCTATTGTAATACAAACAAAAGCAAACACATGCAAAAGCTTTCAAATACATCTATGAAACTTCTCAAGACAGCTTTCAAACATTTCTTATGAGTGCAGTTACATAGAAAATTCTTATGTGATTTTTGGGGTAGGACAAAACTGGCTGTCATTTTTATTATAAGATCTTAGACAAATAATAAGACTTTCAGCATCCTGAAAATAAAAGCAATTATAGGCACTGGGCATTCATTGATCCCAAGAATGTCTAAAAACAAATAGGGGAAGTATCTTACAAGAGGGGTGCAAAATCATTTGGAAACTACATTTTCCATAGTATCACATGGCCTTAAGAATAGAAAGAATAGAAAATTTAGTTCCAATGACATCAGGGGAAGTTTGACATAACATCCACTAATGCAATGGTTTTACCCCTTAGCCCAGAGCCTGGGCTATTTTCACCTCAACATAGTGCATTCTAAGATACTATCTTTGGAAAGATTTTAATGCCAGCAAATTTGTTCACATCTTAAATCTTCTTAGCATGAATCTACTTGAAGCATTTTATCCTTTTGATCTGCAGTGATATTAGAAATTTGAGTGCTCTTTACACACTCGATACGTTCTATGCAACACAAATGCAAGAAAAGTTATTTTAGTCTACTAGAGTTACAGACACGTTTTAGCAACATGGCATCACTCCTTTAGTTAACTTTTAGCTTTGATTCATCATTTCTGTTCTCATTTCAGTAAATTTCTTAACACAGCAAACTGCTGCAGATATCTGGTAATCCTGGCAGTAGTTAGTAAGATTAGTGATACTGGGCAGAAAAAACATTTAGCAATATTCTAAACTATCTTCTAGGGCAAAGCATCGTCTTCTGCACATATCACACTGATATCAGTTGGAGCACAGCATTTTTCAATATTCCAAGAATTTTTAAGAAGAAATAATGCAAAATACAGTGAAAATTAGTGATGGGCGAACCTTCAAGTGTTAGGATAGCAAGGTAGGCACCACAAAGTTCAGGTGCTTCTTGAGCGCTAATTTGACCCTGCACCTGGAACACTGGCTTGACCATAACAAGAACTGCTTTTGTCATGGTATTTTGAATTCCCAATCTGAATAACTCCCAATGTTCCAATCCAGAAGTACAAATAAATGTGAAAAAAAAAAGAAATAAACAACAACAACAAAAATTAATCTAACTTTTCAACCTTTGACAACATGTTGCTTGTCAGATTAGAGAGAGCTGGGAGTTTTTCCACCAAGCAGGTTCGCCCAACTCTAAATAAAACATGCCTTTGTAACTAAGTGAAGCCTGCTATAGAATGATAATAAATTACATTTATTGTACACAGCACCGCCCATTCAAAAGGATCCCAAAGCGCTTTACAAGCATTAGAAAGAAGAGCCACTCCACTTCCCAGTGAAGTGCAATCACCTCTGAGGTGAAATGTGGTGACTGACAGTGCAGAACAATACACTATATTTTAGTCGAGGAAATGGAGAATGCTGTAGCCAATTGAAACTATGGGGTGGGTGAGTGGTGGTGGGGAAGGTTAGGTAAGCAGAACAGTTACATAAATTGGTATTTGGCCAGATGCTTGGGGTTGAGATGGCCAAGCTATAAAAAAGTGCCATGGGATCTTTAATGACCGTAAGTGGTCAAGACCTGAATTTTAAGTCTCTGAGGATAAAAACATTAGAAAACAATGAAAGATACCTTTGTTGAATACATTTCTGGACAATGATATGTGCCAATTATTCTTCTGTCCTGTAAGTTAATAAAATCAAGACCAGTTTCCTTAGAGATAAGGCAGCTATTATCTTTCATTTAAAATTAAAGCACTCTAGGGTAATAACAGGACAACTAATAAAAAGATATAGTGACCTCTAAGCCAACAATTAGCATAAGTATATTCTGGCTTCAGAGGTGCTATTACTGCCTTGCTGTGCTCCTCAAGGTAACATAACGTTGTGATGTAAATGCATTTTTTCCAACTGGTCACTTGACCAAGGAAGATATGATGACATGAAAACAATTGTTAAAATTATTCTGGGGGGAAAAGTAAGTGTAAAAGTGGTTTCAAAAGGAGGTGGAAGAAGGTTAAAAAGATCTCTTGGTGCTGAAGGATTGTTCAACCATAGAACTAGACTCTTTATGGTGAACAGGAGAGCTCAAACTTAATGGAGAAATTCCCAGGGAGAAGGAAGGAAGGGAGGATGTGAAGATGAAGAAAAAGCAGCAGCAAGTACCATGAAAATAAAAGGTGAAAGCAGAAGTGGAGGAGAAATGACCAGAGCTCAGCAACCATGCAAGAGGGTGGGTTTTTCACAAATCAATCTTAAGGGTGGATGACAAAATATACGATGCAAATGATATTCACTTCTAGGTCCAGGTCAACTGGAAGAAAAGCTGACTCTGGAGCCTTGAAAGAGGCCATGACCTTTTTGATGGCCTCAACCAAAGGGAATACAGAGGGAAGTATAGAAATGTTACCATTATATATTCTTCCTGCTAACTAGAAACTCCAAAATGATGGCTTTCTTGAGGAATTCCTCTTACACTAATACATTAGTAACTGTAAAATACAAGGAAATTACGACTCTCACACATATATATACGTACACACATATGTACATCAGGAATCCTCCAAGGATGACCAAATCTCTGAAACTACTAACAGCGAGTAAACCAGTATCTTGGTGACTATGCTCTACTGTTATCCAAATACAGCTTTACGGTAGGAAGGAAATTTATATTGATGAATTGAGAAGATATAATATTGACACTTTTGCTTCCTCATATACTGTTCATTTTCACCTATAGCCTTCAATTACAGGCTGGTACTGATGGCTCATTTTACAGCAGAATGGCTCAGAAGCCGTGGACAAATTAGACAGTATGGCTGAAATTTCTGATGGAAAAACCTTGTGAAACAAAACAGCTGTAAATTCAAAAGAAATATCCTTTTGTTAAGTAGGGCTGCCATTAGCAAAAAGCAAAATATGGTCAGCTATAGCACAAAGGGAGAACAGAAGTACCCAGTGTATTACAAAAATTAACACCCGAGATTAGGTCTCAGCATTTATAGGTCCTGTCAACTGACATTCTTAAGAACTGAAGACAGAAATAAAGATCCCATTCACAATAAAGATCAACATGACATGCCTATATATATAGTTTAATTTGTTAAAGACCTTAGTATTATCTATAGCATAGTTTCCCACCTCTTAGCAGCTGAGCTTTGCTTGGAAAACCAGTAAACATCCCATTCCTGACTAGTCACAGTAGCTCTGGCAAGATTAGGTGAAAGTACGAAGTGCACTTTACGTATAATAGGGATCTTCCACCTCATCAGCAAGGTTTGCCTTATTGCTTAGGAACCACTGATCTCTGGGGATTGCACTGACTACACAAGGTAATGTGTGGAAGGTAGATAGTCCTGTATAAGTTGCTGCTAGGTTCACTCTGGAAGAAAAAAGAATTAATGATTTTCAAATGGCACCTGCCTAAAGCTATACAGACATTTTTGACGTGATAAACAAGTCTGCTGAGATAAAGTTATATGAATACATAAAGCATAAATGCCTAGTATTTCAAAACATCCATATGTGAAACAAAGTCCTTAAGAAAGTTAGAAACACTGCATTTCCATTGTCTCTACAAAACCGAATTTATTGCCAGCATTGCAGTAATGGTTTATGAAAGGACATTAGCATGCATTGGCTTGGATTGCATTATACACCTAAGACTGGGGTCAGGCTGTAAAGCTTCCGGTTAAAGGACAGTAAAATTGACTCATAATTTCAGGTTACTTTGGTTTCAGGTCAGAAAATCCAGAGAAACTCTGCAAATTCAATCAGGATTTTCTTTAGGTTCTTGAGCTTTTTAAAGCCTAAAAATCTAAGCAAAAAACCAAGACACCTGTAAGAATTAAAATAATAATAAAAAAAAAGAACGTGAGAGAAAATGCAAGACCTGGACATGGAGCTTTAACACTGGTCTTACTTGCAATTCAATTTCTAGGCATCCAGTTTTACCCTCTGATATATGTGATTTCTTGATCATTATTATTAGTAACACATCAATAACTTAGTCATAAATATTTAGGATTCTGGAGAAATGGTTCAGAACATATGCTTTCTTTCAGCATCCGTTACTTACACACAAGATTCCATACTTAAGACACTGCAGAATAAGTGCCCACATAAAATGAAAGAGGCTAAGTATCTTTGGCTTGATGACATTTGAATAAAAATCATGAAATATGAACCTGTTCAACCTGCTGCACAGAATCCAATGTTCTAAACCAAAAGCCAAAAATTGAAAATCAATACTGCTGTTTGAATTATGGCATAGAATAGGAAAAAATGGGAAAATGGCCTATTGATGTTCCATCCTCAGCTTGAACCTTACACCAACTTCTTCTAAAATATCGCAGAAAAATCCCTGGGGTTTTTGGAGTAAAGAGTATAAATCGCCTTAGCCAACCAAGAAAGAAAAATAGAGAGTACACTGTGATTCAGTAGAAAAGCATCTTCCTCCATTTCACTTTTGGCCAAGATAATTCAGCCCAATGCAACCTCTAGTGAAGTGGAAGGAATAAATTATGTAAGGCAGGTATGTATTTTCCATTCTAGTGCAGCAAATATAGTTGACCATAAACAGCAAAGAGGTATCTGATTCAGGAAATGAACTTGTAACTTTACTTAGCAGATACATTAATTTAATGGGACTTAAATAAATATTAACGTTACCCATGTTTTCAAGTGAATTCCTGTGAATGAGACTTTTGTTCTCAATCCAAAACCATGAATAATGCATATACATGAGGAGGAAAAAATTTTTCTTTTCTTTTTTTTTTTTTTTTAACCTGCAAGAACGTACCACAATGGTGGAGCTAAGTATTAGTTAAGGAGAATTCTAACTGGGAAATCTTCAAATGTGAATAAGCTTCATATTGATTATATTTATAGGTAGTTGCCCTCCCTTCTAGAAATTTCAGGTACAGATTCCTTTATTCCTCCAGAAGACTGCAAAATCATCATTCAGATCAATTAAAATTGTAAGTGATTCTATCTTAAAAATGAAACCCCTCCATGAAAAAAGAAACCTCTTCTATTTTAGAGATAAGCATCAAAAACATCTCCAGGAGAAAAATTGAAAAATTAATCTATCTGAACTTCCTGAAAGCATTTATTTTTACAAGACAAATTTTGTAAATACTAAAAGGGATAAAAAATAAAAATCAATCTTTGACTGAAAACAAACATAAAGGAACCAATGTAAGCAGAACAGGAATTTTTGAAATTTCAAGTTACAATTTTCAGTGATAATTTTTTACTACTGAGACATTTAGGAGGAAGCAAAGGCAGGTGATTTGGAATAGAAGTCTTCTGGGGTATCAATTAACAGCAGCTCTAAATCCTACTGTTTTGCCAAGAAACAAGGTGTTAGGCAGCCCAGATTCTTACTAATACTGCTCTGATGATGTATTTCTTAAAATATCATCCCATTTATGTGTATGCATTTAATTCCCTTGGAGATAACATAAATGAATAACACATCAGCAAGAACCTACAACCTAGAAGATTCTCTAGGTTCTCTCTTCCATCTGTGATAAATAAGACCAAAATTTCATCAAACTTCCATTATGCCCATAAGCAAAGTCTCCTATTCCATTGTCTTACAAAATATACTTTAACAGATATACCCAGCACTAAAAATACACTACAGAAACACTTTGCAAATTTTCTTATATAAGAAAGCTTCATAAAAGATGAAAAATGCATGGAACGTGATTATCATTGCAACCGCCAAAATTTCTAAGGTATGATTTGTATATAGTTATGGTTTTGATATATGAACTAGACAGGAAAAATAAGGCTGATAATGTGCTCCTCTAGAACAGACTTCTGTAAAATACATAGATGTTATTTTTCTTGTTTGAGGTCAAATATGACATGCAAAGCACTATACAGCTTATACTTGTCACGAGAGTGGGTGGACTGTAGGACAGGCTCCCAGTGTTTCATCCATCTGACCGTGATATACTCAGTCATCAACAGATTTAGGCTCGTGAGTTTGCGGAAGACCAACAACATAATTCTTAGGCCCAGCCCAAAAGATTAACAGGGCCAGAGGCAGCACGAGGTCCCTGGAAAAACTCTGGGAGCAGTGACAAAGGCCAGAGAAAACACTGGAGAGAAACTGCATTCAATTCAACAAAACCAATAAAATTCTTGAGATGTTTCTATGGAAAATCATTGACAAGTTTTCATTACAAAGAAAATAAAGATGAATTTCCAACTGTTGACAGTGGATTTCTGAACTAAAACAGATCTAGAAATGTACTTATTATGATCACGTTCAGTGCTGATTTAGAAGCCTGAAATACTGCCAGTTCCACAGCTATAGATAATGCAGGGCTCAGAGGGCTGGTTCTGACAGTATTAGAATGAAAAGTCTTCTGCTTTAAAATAATCAAAAAAAATCTGAATTTGTTGACTGAATTAGAACATTCATGCATGATTTACTTGTACACTGATAGTCTGCTGTTTTGGGGAAAGTCTAACATTTTGTCACTCATTTAAAAATGACTGACAAGAATGAAAAAACTTTGTTGCCAAGACATGGTTAGTCATTTCACATTTGTTTCTAAGTAAATTTCTGTGTATGCACAACACATACCAATATTATATATCATTGCAAGTTTTGTATTATACTGAATTTATTTTCTAGAGAAAATAAAAACTGGATTATAGCATTCC